TGGCCCAGAGCAGATAATGCTTTTCCTGGCAGGATGGATGGATGGGAACATGAACAATAGCATGGTAATAACAGTAATGATAACCCTCATGAACAATAGCACGGTAATAACAATAATGATAACCCTCACTGATTGCCGATCTTGAGCCAAGCATTGTTTTTAAGTAATTTAATCTTCACAGCAGCCCTGAGGAAGATAACAGTACTGTCCCCATTGAACAGGTCAGAAAACTAAGGCTCAGAGATGTGAAATGACTTACCCAAGGCCACACAGCTCATAAATGGAAGAGCCGATTCAAACCTCTGAGCCTGCATGCGGAACCTCCCTTCTCTATGATTGCTCTTAACCAGTCCAGTCCAGTCAGTATGGTTTAGTGCTGAGCTCTGGGATCACAGACCGAGAGCTGAATTCCAGCTCTGCCCCTTGCAAGCTGAGTCTCTGGGCGACTCTCTCCTCTTCCGCAAGTCAGTTTTCTCGTCCAGCAGGAGGAGAGCAGCAGCATCTCCACCCCTGGTCTGTGTGGATTAATAAGGCGCGGGAAGCGTTTCGCTTCGCACAGTGCTGGCATGGAGTACCTGCTCGGTAATTTTGTTTTGATTGATGAAACCAAGGCACAGACTTGCTGAAAACGGTAATACACGCCTATGTGCTAAAACCTCCAGAAATTAAGAAAGTGTCGAGGCTAAAAACCCAGATCCCAGTTCCTGGCAAGATTGATAGGTGCCCAGGATGAACAAATGCCTGTGGAATCTTGTTTTCATTTCGGGGGGAAAGGCTGAAACTGGAAGCGGATATATAAAAGTGCCAGGTAGGGACTTCCTTTCAAAGAGGACAGTGTGGAAAGGGGAAAGAGCAACTCGAGAGAGGAGTAACCTGACAAACACGTCCTTGGCCAGCTGACCAATGTCAAATTAACAGCGAGAAGGCATCTTGATAGCATGCACCTTTGATAAAAGAATGGCACCTTACTGCTGCCTCCTGAGAACCCATAAGCCCTGTCTAATCACAAGAAAAACATCCAACTCACACTGAAGGACATTCTACAAAATACCAGACCAGGACTCCTCAACACTGTCCAAGTCACCAAACACGAGGAAGGTCTGAGAAATGGTCCGTCTAGAGGAACCTAAGAAGACATGACTAAATGTCACGTGGGATCCTGGATGGGATCCTAGAAGAGAAAAGTGATATTAGGTTTAAAAAAAAAGGGGGGGGGCAAAAAAAACTAAGGAATGTGATACTCAAGTATAGCCTGTAATTCATATTAATGTATCCACATTGCTCCACGAGCTATGACGTTACTATGTAAAATAGTAGCATTCATGGATGTGGGTTTAGGGGAATGCTTTGAACTATTTTTTGCAACTTTTCTGTAAATCTAAATCTCTTCTAAAATAAAAAAAAAAAATGTTTTTTTTATCTGAAGGGTGAGGTTACCGGCAATGTCTTCATTTTACTTCCCGTTTTCTAAGTGGTCTACGATGCATGTTGTGCTTTGTCATCAGAGAAAAATTCAACAGACTTTGCTTTTAAAAGAAATGAATGAATGGGTGTCTGGCCCTTTGGAGACGGAGTGCTACATAAATAAAAGTATAATTAGAGTCGTTCCTTGGGCAGCGATTTAAAACGACTTTATCATTCTGCTCCCAGGAGGCTCCCGCCACCAGGGCCTGGCGCTCTCCCAGCGGCGGGCGGTGTGCAGGGCCAAAGGGCTTGTCCAGGTGAGGAGATACTGCTGACTCCGAGGCCCTGAGGCAAACCAGCCCTAGAAAATCCCGTTCGCCAGCTTCCAGGCCCCGCTCAGCCTGTGTTAGGCTGTTGGCCTAGGAGTCAAGAAAACCAGACGCGGCCCCCTGTCCCCACCACACAAATGAAAGAAAGACAAGACCAGCCAGGACCACTTGCTCTGTCCCAGGTGAGCTGGTTCACCGTCATTTAGACCTCGAACCGTTCTGTAAAGCAGGTACAGTCGTCCCCCTCATCTGCAGTTTCACTTTCCATGGCAACCGTAGTCTGAAAATAATATGCGGAAAATTCCAGAAGTAAACATTTATAAGCTTTCGATTGCACACCACTGAGTGTAGCGTGATGAAATCTCGCACCATCCTGCCCACGTGCAATGTGAATCACCCCTGTCCGGCGCCTCCACATTGTACGTGGTCCCCGCCCTCCGTTAACACGTGGACTGTCCTGGCACCAGTGATTGTGCTCAAGTCACCCTTATTTTACTTACAGTGGCCCCGAAGTGCAGGAGTGGTGATGCTGGCAGTTCGGATCTGCCAGCGAAGCGAGGCCAAGTGCTCCCTTTCAGTGAGAAAGGCGAGTAAGTACAGTACAGTAAGGTTTTTTTGAGACCAGCCACGTACATGCTGACAGCTTGTATTATAGAATATTGTCGTAATTGTCCTATGTCATTGTTGTTGTTAATCGCTTACTGTGCCTAACTTACAAATTAAACTTTTTCACAGGTATGTGTGTATATGAAAAAAACAGCATATATTTTGTACTATCTGCGGTTTCGAGCATTCCCTGGGGGTCTTGGAATGTATCCCCTGTGGATAAGTGGGGACTACTGTACTCTATTACTATTCCTCCTTTTTTTTTTCTTACCCGAGGACACTTTTTCTATTTATCTTCAGATAGAGTGGGAGGGTGAGAGAGTGGGCAAGAAAAGGAGAGAGAAAGAAACATCGACATGAGAGGGACACATCGACTGGTTGCCTCCCGCACAACCCTGACCAGGGCCAGGGACAAACCACAACCAGTTTGGCCCTTGGCCGAAATCAAACCTAAAACTCATTGGTCCATGGGCTGTGACCTTGACAGATGGCTGGGCCACCTTTGGGGAACAGGATGCTGGAGGAAGGAAATGCTAACGGTGGACAGAAAACTATCAGATGTCCCCACAATACCCAGCCACTACCACCCAAATACCAAGGGCTATGGGCAGGGGCCAGCTTGTCAGGCTCAACCCATCCCGAACACCAAGTCCGGCCTGGAATGGTAGGGAATGTGGGACAGCTCCCTGGCTCCCCTCCTGTTCATTGTCCAAGGGTTCCTCCATTATCTGGTACCCAATTCATACACGGACAGGCTCTTGGTGAGGGCATCAGAAGCAAGGGACAGAGGACAGATCGTGTCATTTCTAACTGTAATGGGATTGGGACCAGATTCCCGGAGAGCTATCAACCAGGACCCTGGGAAGGGGCAGCTAGCTTTCTACCACCTAGGTAAGGGTTTGAGTCCTTGACAAACGTGAGTCGCTGCCTTCCAGGTGGTCTGCATGGGTTCTAATCGCCCTTCCTGAGCCCACTGGCCGCCTCAGAAACGGCCCTCGGAGCCATCTCCGACCAACATTGATCAGCCTGCTTGACTGCCCCACGTGTTCCCCAATACAGGCATCCAGGGGACTTTCCCGTTTTCAAAATCCAAATCCAAGTTCAAAAGAGCAAAACCTGCCCCTCTGAGGCCACGCCCAAGAACCCAGGCACGTCTGAGAAGTGGCTGCTTGATAAGCATCACATGACTTCCCAGTTGCGGTTGCTCTGACACCCGCCTTTATAGCCAAAGCGCCTGTGTGCTGCTCTCCTCTCTCCCTGCCTCCATTCCTCAGACGGGAGCGTGGGACACCCCCAGTCACCCACCAGATCTGGCTCCGTCTTCCCTGGAAGTGGGCCCATCTCTTCTCCCTCCCAGCTGAGCCCAGGCACTGGGACCAGCCCAGGCTCCACTTACCCCACTAATGAGTCTAAAGTGTTTGGCTTGGGTTCCTGCCAGTCCTGCCACTACAGGGGAGGGTGGTGGGAGAGCAGAACAAAGCTCGTGCCAGCTCAACTCTGTTGGGCTCTGGGAGGGCTAGCACAAAGGCTGTGTGGCACAGACCCACCCAGGGGTGCAGCCAGGCTGTCCCCTCCACTTCAGGGGGGTTCCCAAAATGCAGATTCTTGGCTCACCTACTGCACTGGAATGGTGGGCCCAGGAACATGCATTTTTAATAAGCACCCCAGGAAACCGATGCACAGTGAAGTTTAAGAACCACTGCTCCAGGAAGTCGATGCTGGGAAGTTCTGTACTCATGCATTTTTCTAGAGCCCACAGCTTCGGTCAAATTCTCAAATTAAGTCAATAGCTGCCATACCCCATTAGAAACAACAACAAAAGGCTAAGGAGCTCTAGTCAATGGGATGACTTCCAAATGCAGATGCAGTTGAATTCAGTGACTGTTCAGGTCCCATCAAGACAAATCCACTGGAGATGCTCCTTTTATCAAATCTCAGGGCAAGTCTGGGGAACCCGGAATTACAGAGAGCTAGGCTTAGGGACAGCAGGATGCCAAGGGCCAGGTGCTTGGGCGGGGAAGGGCAGAACCAAGGGACATCTCAGAATGCATGGGTTGGAAGGCTAAAAGGACCCTTTACAGAAACTAACCTGCTGGTGAGAAGGGTGAATTTTCACCAATATCTAGTTCTTTCTTTCTGGCCACACAGCTAAATTACATTTTTCAGTCTCCCCTGTAGTCAGCAAGGCCATGAACTGAACTCTGGCCAGTGGAATGTGAGTCTCCCACAGCATGCTCCCCTCCCCCCACTGGATGCTGTGGAGGACTCCAGGGTCTCTGCAGCTACCTGGCTGAGCCACAACAGGGAAAGAGCCTGGGCTTTGTTATGACTTCAAGGTGCAGAGTGTCCCCACCACAAACGCACCTGGACTGGGCAGTTTATTTATAGAAAATAAACCTTTGTATGTCAAGCTGCTGAGATTTGGGGGATGTTTGAATTAGCAACCAGCCTTTTAGAACCAATACACCCTCCTCAGGTACACCAAGTCCAGGTATACAAGGGTAGTGACATGTTCAACAGCACAGTGAGCTCCTGGTGGGTCAGGCCTAGAACAAGCATTTCCCAGGTGCAGCCTTGGACAGGGGGATGGGGCACCATGACCACACACCACAACTGGGCAGCACCAATTCCCAAAAAACTTTATTGTTTCAAGTGGCAAAATGTTATTGGTCTCTGTGGGGCACCTGGTAGGGAGGAGGGAGACCTGGGGTGGGGCAGGGCTCCATCCATTACAAAAATCAAAGGCTTTTATAAAAAATGCTATAAATTGATATCAAAAGAAAACCCAAGGTAGGCTGGAGGAGGAAGCAGAGGGGGAAGAGCAGACAGCACATGGAAGGAGGACCAGAACCTTGGACCACTCATGACGAAATCCAGGCCGGAATCCAAGCCGGGAGAGGTGTGGGGGAAAGCTGGGATGGTGATACAAAGTGCATAAATGTGCCTCCCAGACACTTCTCAGAGGCGAAGAGGGACAGAGGCTGCAGCCTGGGATATTGGGGGGGAGGGATCCAGCCATCTCCTCGCCGGGGACCCCACAGGAACGGGCACTGCCTGAGACTGCCGATGGGAAGGACCTGCACCGGGAGGGAAGAGAAGAGCTCAGGGGAGCCAACTGTGGGGGATGAAGATGCTTTGGCTTCCTTCCCCTCCCATCCTGGCTCCCCACACTCGGCATAGTTGTAAGGAAGGCCCCTAGTGAGTCCCTGGGATACCAGACCAGAAGGGCCCATGGAGCACACTGGGGACAGCCACAGGGCCCGAGGACCATCCTTGAGCCCAGGGAGGAAGGCTGAGATAGAAGCCCTCCTCCTTGTCCATCAAAGGCCAGATGAGAACACCCTATTCTGTGGGTAAAACTAAAGGGAGCCGAGGGACCCACCAAGTCTCTGGAACTTGGCTCCATCTGCCTGCTTCCAGCGGGGGGGGGGGGGGGGGGGGGGTAGCACGGCAGCTTGTGTGCATCCTCCAGGGCATGTCCTGCACACCCGCAAACCCCACTCCCCAAACCCAGCCAGGCCATAGCCCAGGGACTTGCCCTCACCTCAGGGCCTTCTCAGACCTTCTTCTTCTTCAGCTTCAGGGCTTGTAGCCAACTGGGTGAAGATCCTTCTGACCTAAAAGGCAGAAGGCAAAAGTCACAAAGCAAAGTGAACAACATGAGGACTGGCAGGAATAGAAACACCCTCCTCCAACCGCAAGAGGCAGCGCAAGGCCTGGTGCAGGAGACAGGAACTCGGCCACCAACGTAATACAGTTAATTTGGGACACGTTGACCTCCTCCCCAAGCATCAGCTTTCCTCTACATAAAGTGGGGTTTCTCTTTTTAGGCCAAGACAGCGAAGTCAGTGGATGCCCCGAGGTCAGGTCACCCACCCTGAGGATTTCTCTGGCTTCGGAGGTAACGTGAGGGGCTTCCCCAGCCCTGGGACCTTGCAGGACTTGGAGCGCTGGAATGCAGACTCCTTCTGGCTGGACTTGCTGTCTGCCAGCTCCCCCTCCTCAGCCGAGCGGTTCCGGGGACGCAGCTTGGCCTGAGAGACAAGTCCAGGTGCAGACAGATGTCAGTGGGACAGGCGAGAGGACTGAGAGAAGAGCGGACAGTCCCCAGAGTCAGGCTCAAACCCCCCGTGGTCCTTCCACCCAGAAGGATGTGAGATCACTTAACGACAAACCCCCCGAGGGCTGGGCTCTGCCTCCCACAGGAGCCACTCAAAGGGATGCTGCTGAATTCAGGCGCACTCAGCTGGGCCAAGCCAGTGGACTTCCGGCCCTGTGCCTCTGCTCATTCTGTTCCCTCTGCCTGGAAGGCTTCCCACCACCCCACCCTCCATAACCAACTCCTATGCATGCCTCAAAGCTAAGAGCAAATGCTAGGAGGCCTTCCCAGTCTACCCTCCACTGTTATGAACATTAACTTCTCTCTCTCTGAACGGGCCAAGCCCTTATCTGTACCTCCCTGTGACCCCTACACTTCTCCATTCGCCACAACTATGAACATAGCTATGTCCCCCGTGACCCCATGAGGTTCCAGGGCATGAAACAGCCTTGTTTCGCCTTCCGTCACACTTGGCACACAGCACAGGGTCGCGCAGGCTCTCAGTGGAGATTAGAGTGCGAGGAGGGGGAAGAAGGGGGAGGGCGGATGAAGAGATGATGGCGAGAAGAAAGGCTGGATGCAAGGTGGCCAGCTGGCCAGGTGGTTGGATGTGGTTGCTGAATCATCAGATGGTACCTTCAAGGCTGATGGGCTCAGGCCAGGAAAGAGGTTGACTTTCAGGCCCTTGGTGCCCAAGGACATCCGTGTCCTGCGATTCTGAGGCTCCTCCACCACCTCCTCGTCTGAAGACGGCAACCGAGAAGCTCGTGGCTCTGCAAGGGCCCAGAGAGGGCTCAGCACAGACAGCACCCCCAGACCCCTGCCACCGGCACACCCCCACCAAACAACACACTGGCCCTACCCGTAGAGTCCTGGAACAGGCGTGCGTCCGAGTCTGCCGCCTCCGACAGGCCCAGGGTACCGCCGGGCCGGATGGCCGGGGCCCGGTGCCCACGCTTGCGCCCCAGGTTGGCACGGCTCCGATACACGGCACTGTCGAGGACCTCGGTGTCCTGCTTGAGACAATGGCAACACCACTGCCATCGCCACCCCGTGGTCTTGCCCCATCCCACATGAGCCCTTCAAAAGTAGCCGACTGTGAGCAGATCCCTCCTGGAGCCCGGAGCCCCTGTTCATATGACCTGCCCACCACCCACCTTCTGCCTCCTGGATCGAGACCACTCAGGGCTCTGAGCAGCTGAGGAGCCCCAGGGACCAGGCTCTGACTCAACCCCCCCCCCCAGGCCCCCCAAGAGCCCAGCCAGTGCCCTGGGCACAGCCTCCACTGACCTCGATGAAGGAGAAGTCCTGACTGGGGGACCTGGGGGGAGGGCCTTGGGGGGGCCGGCGAGGGGGCCGCGTCGGGCCCTGCTCACCCCGCCCGGCCCCCGCAGGGCCCCAGGTGCCATCCACCTCTTCTGTCCGGCTGGCTTCGCCATCTGGCTGCGGCCTCCAAGAGGGCAGAGGGTCGCTGCCAGGCTCCAGGGGCTCCCCTTGCTCAGCACTGGCTGTGGTTCCTTCCTCTTCTGACAGGCCCCTCAGGCCCGAAGCCGCTGACTCCCTCCGGGCCGCTGCCTTGGCACTGCTGAGCGCCAGCGACTCCTCCGGCAGGCCCTGGGGGGCGGAGGGCAGGGAGCGGGCCGGGCCCCTGCCGGGGCTACAGAGGGGACAAACCAGAGGACAGGGTCACCCCGCAGCCACGTCTCCTTCCCGGAGCCCCTCACAGGACTAATCTCCCCTCTCCCCCCCTCCCTCCCTCTCCTTCCCACGCCTTTCCCAGACTCCTTCAGGAAGGACACGCTCAAGGCCGCACACAACACGGCACAGAGGGGATGAGCTGGGCCAGCCTGGCAGGTTCAAATCCTGGGGCCTCCACTTACTGAGACTTTGGGTGAGTCCCTTCGCCTACAAAAGCTTCTAACTTTATAGCGCTGCTGGAGGAAGAAATGAGAACCTCAGGAACGGGTCGCAGTGCCCGGCACTGAGCGTGTGCCCTCAACAGCAGCCGCTACCACCGCCATCCAGGTTGCTGATGCTGCCGGTGTGTCCCTCCCGGGGCACCTGCTTGAGCACACACTCGCCTTGGGATGAGCCGTGCAACCTCGTCAGCCCCCACCCAGGCACCCCTCCCTGTGCCCATCTCACTGAACATGTCAGGCCCTGCAGACTGCCGTGTACATGAACACACTGTTCCCCTGCCCACCACTGGGAAAGCTCCCCCACCAGCTCCACTCACTCTCCCTGCAGCTTAATTCCTCCACTGAAGCTGGCCTGCTCCCCTCCCCCCGCCGCCACCCCTCCTCAGCCCTGCAGCCCAGGGCTCCACCTGTGCCAGCCCCTGCCTCAGAGGGGGAGGCTCTTTGTTGCCCACTGCCAGGCTGGGAGCAACTCAGGGGCAAAGACGAGCCCCTGTTGCCTTTGCACCCCCAGCACCTGGCCCCAGGTCTGGCCAGGAGCAGGACTAAGCAAATGTTTGCCGAGTGAATAAGAAGCTGGGTCACCTTTGCATCTCAATGCAGCTTCTGCGGCATCGGCCTGATGCTCCCTGAAAACACATCACAGACACATGCATGCGCACTCTCACCAACTCACACACCTCCCGCGGGAGCTCGGTGCCGTCCAGCTGCACCTGCACACACAGACACCCGACACACTCACAGCACACCTCCCGCGGGAGCTCGGTGCCGTCCAGCTGCACCTGCACACACAGACACCCGACACACTCACAGCACACCTCCCGCGGGAGCTCGGTGCCGTCCAGCTGCACCTGCACACACAGACACCGACACACTCACAGCACACCTCCTGCAGGACCGGGTGCCATGCAGGACAGAGTGCCATGATCGCCTGCTGCTCCTGCGAGCAGAGCCACACCCTGACATGCACGAGCACCCCACGCTCACACCAGGCACGTGGGCGGGCGTGGGACAGGCTGGCGGGGCACTGGGAGCCAGGCCTCAAGTTCCCCCTGGACTGGAAGGGGAGGAGAGTGAGGCAGGTCAGTCCCAGAGCCAAAGGAGGAGGGCTGGAATGGACCCATGTCAGTCTGTCCTTCCACAAGCTGCTGACAGAGGGAAATTAAAGCGGTCTGGGGAGGGAAGGAGGCAGTGGAGGCCGTAGCGCAAGTGCAGCAGGCCTGGATGAGGCCAAAGCCAGCTCACCCTGCTGTTTCAGGTCAGGGCTGGGGCTGGAAGGGTAGCAATGGTACTCGCTGCCCGAGGAGGCCCTGCCCCAAGCCTCTCCCAGGGTGCGGCAGAGAGCAGGCTGAGAAAGAGCCAAGGGGATGAGAAACAGTAATAGGTAGATGGGAAGACCCACATCCAACCCTCACAGGTGTGGCTCAGTTGGCTGGGCATAGTCCATGCACTGAACGGATAGATGCTGGTTCAATCCCCAGTAGGGGGCGCAAAGGAGGCAGCTGATAGATGTTCTGCTCTCACATTGATATTTCTCTCCCTCTCCCTTCCTCTAAAATGGAAGGAAGGAAGGAAGGAAGGAAGGAAGGAAGGAAGGAAGGAAGGAAGGAAGGAAGGAAGGGAGGGAGGGAGGGAGGGAGGGAGGGAGGGAGGGAGGAAGGAGGGAGGGGGGAGGGAGGGAGGGGGAGGGGGTGGGAGAGGGAGGGGGAGGGGGTGGGAGAGGGAGGGGGAGGGAGGGACCCACCCATATCCAGAGTGAGACTGGGCCCCACACCAAGGGGGCAGAGGGCGGTGGAGGCCATGTGGGCCCGGGGGGAGGCCATGAGGAGGGCAGGGAGCAGTGTGGTGTAATCATCCATGCCGGCCTGTCTACACCCCACTCACCCTTCCCTTCATCTCCAGAGAAGCTTTCCTACCTCTTGAGCACCCAGAACACCTACAACCTGAGCCCCTCCTTGGCAGGAAACGGCGACAGACGTGGTCAGGAACCAGTGCAGGGTGCAGCCACTCCGGGCCACAGTTGGGCTCCATCCCTTACAATGTCTGTGGCCTTGGCAAAGCTACTGGCCCACTCTGAGCCTCGGTGTCTTCGTACGTAAACTGAGGATAACATAAGTACCTGGACTTTGCTGGGTTTGTTGGCAGAAATGTGTGCCCAGCACACAGCTAACACTTGATAAATATTTAGGAGAATCATCATCATCTTCTCCTAAATATTTACATTTAGGAGAATATAACCCTGGACATCTATAAGCCTCGCCCCATCTGGACTTGAGTCTCCTGAGGGTTGGACTCTACTCCAGCACCCCCACTCCAGGTGCAAACCCAGGTATGACATAGATCTGCAAAAAATCAGCTTCCTGGTGTTTTCGGCTCCCAGACCCTAAGGAGGTCAGGGCTAGAGCTGGTATGATGTGTCTAAATGGAAGCAGCTGGCCTTGACCCGAGACAGAAAGCAGCTGGCCTTGACCCGACACAGAAAGATGACCCCAAGGCTGGGCCCAACGGAACATGAAGGAGCCAGTCACAGGCTGTGGGTCCTTGTGCAAGCCCCACTGCTCCCTGGGCCTCAGTTTACCCACTCGTGGAATGAGGGAGCTTGCCTCCGTGATTCCTGTGGGTCCTCTCAGACTCAACAAAAAGCCCAAAATGACTGCAGGTTTCTACAGGCCCAAGGGGAGGGGCAGGAGGTGAACAGGAGGCCAGAGGGGGACGAGGGCAATGCACCAGCTCTCGGGACCGGGGAGCAGCACTCTCACCAGGACAAGGTGGCTCTAGACAGAGGAGGGGCTGAGCTCTCCCAGCATTCTCCCCCCCACACACCCGTTCAGGTCTTGTCACATCTGTACCAGACAACATCCCAGCCAATGACCTTTGTCCCACACAGAAATGATGACAAAAAATACCCCCAATGGCCTCACTTCATGGACACATCCATCCAAATCTGTGAAACAGGTACGACTGCAGGTAGCGGACATCTTTCGAGTGTTTACCACGTGCCAGACAGATCCCGGTCACTTCGCACGCGTTAACTCCAACCCCCTGCTGAGTCCTGGGAGTAAATGACCCCCAACTGCAGGAGAGGAAACGGAGGCCCAAGCCCTCCTGCAAGAACTCGCCCGAGGGCACAGGGAGGGACACAGGGTCAAGACCCAAACCTGGCCCACAGGCCCAAAGCCAAACTGCTCTGAACGACCCTCAAGGACTTCTCGTGACCATGGAAACCTCCAACTTTTGCTTTAAAGAGCAACTTTCCAGAGTGTAGAACTTCTCTAAGTCAGATGTTCAGAACTCCAGCTCCTTGGACACTAGTGAAGTTCGGTAAACATTGTGTCAGCACAGTGATTCCCAACCTTTCTCATCTCATGGTATATAAACTAATTACTAAACTTCTGTGGCACACCAAAAAATATATTTTTTCCCAACTGACAAAAAAAAATGCATAATTTTGATTCATTCACACCAGATGGCTATTGTTATGTTGGTGGTTGTCGTTTTTTCCCCCTTTATTGGTTTTTTAGAGAGAAGAAGGGAGGAAGGGAGAGGGAGAGAGACGGAAACATCGACGAGAGAGAACATCGACTGGCTGCCTCCTGTATCCTCCCCTCTGGGGATTTGGCCCACAACCTGGGCACGTGCCCTGACCAGGAATCAAACCACTGACCTCTCGGTGCCTGGGTCGATGCTCAACCACTGAGCCACACCGGCCGGGCGCTGGTTGTCATTTTTTTTATTTGACAGTCTCAGGGAAAGAGATCAGCGCCCGACCAGTCCGGTATGGCACGTTTTAAAAGTTCTGGTGGCACACTGGCTGAAAATCACTGTTCGCAAAAGGTAAACACGTTGCTGTGTTCTTCTGCTTTAACAGGCTGCTATGTGCTATGACACACATGCACTCTAAGCCTTTTCCAAACTTGTAACAACCAGAAAACCTGTGATGGAGACCAAAGCTCAGACAGCTGAGGACTCCCTGCTTCTCTGCCACTAACCTCCTTGTCCCCAACCCAGTCCCCTCACAATGGCCCACCTGGCCAGCCTCTCCCTTTCATCCTAAACAAAGGGAAGGGTATTCCCACTTTCCCATTCTTAAGAGCCACCCCAACTGGAGGGGAAAGGTGGAGCATGGTGGGCCCCCTGCTTGGTAGTCTTGAGTCCTGAACACAGTGGCCGCACCCGACAGCATGTAAGATAGAGGAGCAAAAGACACTGCCGACTGTGACCTCAAACAGGTCACACCCCTTCTCTCCTGCACCCTGGAGATGGTAATGATCCCTTCTTGCTTCACCTGCAGCTGTGAGATCAACGAGGTCAGCTGTACAGCTGAGCACGGGGGACCACAGACTCCCAGGAAGAGAAATCAGAGCAACCACGGGGCACCCACATTCTGCAGGCACCAGGAACGCTCAAGCTTCCTGTGGCTCATGTCACAGAGTGAGGCTCAGAGCCAGCCAGGAGCCTCTAGACCCCTGGTCCTGTGCGGTCACCTCCTCCCCACATTCCCCCTCCTCCAGGCCTGGGCACTGGCACCGTCCTGCCCCATGCTCTGTCCTTACCTCCCCCCTCTCCTCCTCAATCCCAAATGCCTTCCCAACTCCTCCACCACCAGCCCCACTCCCTCTAGATCCTTCCTGGTCCCTCCTGCCCCCTCCCACCCCACACCTCCCTGCCCCCCTCTTCCCCGCATAGCTGGTGAGAAGCTCCAGGGTTGGAAAAGGTCAAACGTGACGATGGAAATGTTAAGAGATGCAATGCCTTGTGGGGCGACCAGATAAGAGAAGGTAGAGAGAGCCGCCAAGAACATATCTGCAGAGCCCACGGACCCAGACAACGGGCGGGGGGGGGGGGGGCAGCTGAGTGGAGGTGAGCAAAGGGGGGAACACCTGTAATAGTGTCGATAAAAAGAGAGATGCCCCGCCTTTTTGCACCTTTTCCAGGCGTGAAATCACCTCAGTTGGTTTCAGAACATAAAAACCCGAGACAGACTGTGGCGGGCTCATAAACCTACCACTGTGTTCCTTTGCAAAGTTCTTTTCCAACAACTCTGTGCATGGAGCCAAGGTCATGGGGCCAGGAGCCAGGTCCCAACGTCCTTCAGGTTCTTAAACTATTGCTTCTTCTGGCCCTTAAAACAGGGCAGGCAAGAAGCACCATGTTCCTAACCTCTTGAGAGACAATAGTGCCACTGTCCACTGCACTCCAGACCCGGAACGGCCAAGACAGAGAAGACAAGAGTCCTCCTTCCTGCGCCCCAACAGCATCCACGGTCCCGGGCCCAGGAGCTCCTGTGGTTTCAGAGCTGAAAGGCCGGGAAACAGCCGCTGCGCTCGAGTGGGAGCCATCAGCATCCATCCAAAGACGTGAACGTACCATTTCCTCCAGCAATCGCATCACCAAGGAAGCCTAACAACGCATGGGCTGCAAGAGTACCCCTCACACATCACATTCACCACTCAGGAGAGGAACTCAGCCTACATGCAGGTCACAGTTCAATTTACAAAAAGGTAAAAGTAAAAATTCATAGTCCAAACCACCACCACAATTTTCCAGAGCAAAGCCGTGTCTCCCCTCCCCAGACAGCTGGCACGCCTCCCCTCACACACAGGGATGCCCCTTACCTGGCTCCAAAGCTGGGGGCTTCTCCTGTCTCCATCCCGGGGTCTTCGGGGCAGGTCTCCAAGGAAAATGAGGAGTCATCTTCGCCCTGGGCCTCTGGCCCACTCATTTCACCAACCCCCAGCTCTCTGGCCTCCATGGGGTCTCTGGCCCCCAGGCCAGGACACAAAGTGCCAGGGTCCCTGAGGCCAATCTCTGAGCACTGGCTGACTTCTCCCACCCCATGCTCCCTGGCTCCACTCGGGGCCCCAGAGCGCTCCACATTCCGGAGCCCCAAATCCTGGGTCCAGTCCATCTGTCCCACTCCACATCCTCGTGGCTCCTGAGAACCTCCGGTCTCCAGGTCACATGACACCTCCAAATTCCTCAGGCCCAGACTGTTGTTGCCCCAGTCCACCTGGCCCACCCCAAGCTCCCTGGAGCTGCTACCTGCCCCCACAGCCATGTTCCTCAGCCCCAGGTCCGGTGTCCAATCTGCCTGCCCCACTCCACGCTCCCTTGATTTAAGAAAGTCTCCAGCCTCCACGCCTGACCAGTCAGTCTGCCCCACACCCCTCTCTCTGGCCTGGCTGTGGCCTCCTGCCTCCCCAACCCCAGCCAAATCTCTGCCCCTCACCCTGACATCAGAAGTCCAGTCCTTCTCCCCAACTCCCATCCTCCTGGGCTCCTCAGAACCCCCCGTCTCCAAACGGCTGTCCAGGTCCACGTCTCTCAAGCCCAGGTTATCCGACCAGCTCCTCTGTCCCACGGCCTCCTCCCTGGCCTCACGTGAGCCCCCGGAACCCACACAACTGGACACTTCCAAGTTCCTGAGGCCCAGCTGGTCAGCCCAGTCCACGGACCCAGCTGAGGTCGTCTCGGGAGACACAAAGTGGCCACCTCCCATCTTGACGGAAGGGCTCAGGCCAGCACCACTCACTCGGTCATTGCCAATGATGCCAAAATGATGGCTCCCCTCGGTAGCCTCCACGCAGAAGTCAGCACTCCAGTCTCGCTGCCCTGGGCTGAAGGCTGCCTCTGGCTGGGGGACAACATTGAGGCTGAAGTCGCCAGCCCAGCCTCTCCGCCCCACTTCCCTGCCCCCCGGGTCGGCATCGCCCGGGCTCCGGTCCCCTGCCTGCCGTCTCCCGTGCAGCCCTCCAACCTCCTGGCGGGCACCGCTGTCCTGCCAGCTGCTCTGGTCTCTCTGGGTCAGCGCTCCATCCTGCGACTGGGGGCTGCTGGGGCTGAACAAGCCCCCCGACTCCATCTCCTCTGGCTGGCCTGCACCCCTGCTGGCCTCGCCCAGGCTGTCTCCCCTACTCGGAATCTTCTTCTCAAACTCCTTGTCCTGCTGTTGGGCTTCCTCGGGGCTGAACCCAGTGCTCAGGGCTCTCGTCCCTAAGCCTCGATCCTGGGGGCCGAGGGCCGTGGAGCTGCCGTGGCTGCTGTAGTCCCTCATCCAGGCGCTCTTCCCGAAATCCTGGTCCTGCTGCTCAGCACCCTGGCTGCCAAAGATGCCAAGCGACGAATCTCTCTTCCCAAACTCCTGGTCCTGCTGGTCCGCATGCTGGCTGCTGTATCTGCCGAGCTGGTCCTTCTGCCCCACTTCCTGGTTCTGCTCGTCCACCTCCTGGCTGGCATAAGCCCCCAAAGAATCTCTCTTTCCAAACTCCCAATCCTGAAGGCTCGCGTCCTGACTGCTGTAAGAACCCAGCGAATCTCTCTTCCCGAATTCCTGGTCCTGCAGTTCCGCATCCCGGCTGGAGTAAGTGCCCTGGGAATCCCTCTTTCTGAACTCCCAGTCCTGGGCATCTGGCTCCTGGCTCTGCTGGGTGCCAAGCAGGGCTGGCTTTCCAATCACCCGGTGCTGAGCTGTGAGCCCCCCTGGGGAGGACACTCCACTCCCGTGGGGGCTGCCGACCTCCACCTCCTCGTGGCCGATAACGCCGCACCTGCTGGCCCACTCCCTGGAGCTCCCCTCCCCTGCTCCTGGCCCACACTTGTTGGACCAGTCCTTCTCTCCAAGGCCTGGGCCCCCTCTAGGGCTCGCACTCCCCAGGCCATAGTCCTGAGAAGTGTTTTGGGACCAGCTGGAAGGGCTAAAACTGCTTGACTGTGGGTCTGCTGCGATCCCAAATTCACTCTGCAGATCTTTCTGGGCCCAGCCAAGGAGTCCCTGAGTCAGAAAAAAGAGAGAGAGACAAACAGAAACAATGCTGAGAGTTGATCCGAAATGAGAGTCAGCACGGTCTGGTGCCCAAGAGCCACACTTAGCAACAGAAACCCGGGGTTTGTATTCCAGCTGTGTGACCTTGAGCAAATCACTTAACCACTCTGGGCCTCAGGGCCCTCATCCTTAAATGGGGATAACTCCTACTGCAGGGGCAGTGAGGTAGGACTAAGCAAGATCATCTGAGCCGAGCCAAGCCCAGCCCAGCGCCCAGCACACAAACAGCACTCGGCACTCAGAACAGCACTGGGCACTCAATCGATGACCCTAAGGTCATGTGCACAGCCCTTGGGCAACACTTGGCTACCCACCAGGGGAAGGCAGCCTGGCAGAGTGGTCTCCACATGGATGTGGGGTACACTTTCCTTAGGAGAGGACAAGACTCAGCCCCTCCATAACTCCTTTCCACTGTGAGCTTCCACCACCACCCCAGCCTGTCTAGTCCCCATGAGTTCCCAGCCCCTCCCTCCCTAAGGAAGGCCCCTCTGCCCAACCCTCCCCAGGGGTGGAGAGACAGGAGGGACAGCCTCTGGCACAGGGAAAAGACCCAGCCAGGGCTCCACACCCCATGCTCCCTGACTCACTCCTGAATGCGGGCGAGCCCTGGCCTCAGGGCTGTGGAGCCTGCCGGCCTCATCCCGCAGCGCTGCGTTGGCCAACAGCCTCTCCAAGACAGACATGCTGTGCTCCCCGTCCCCAAGCCGGGCCATGGCCCCTGCCCCCACACCCTCCCCGGGCAGCTGGGTGGCAGGCGCCCGGACAGGGCTGGGCCGCTCCCCGTCGTCCGGACCTGTCGGACGGCTCCAGCTCTGGGCTCACTCTGGCCCTGCTCCCTCTAGAGCAGCTGCAGCTCTGGTGGCCACGCCCAGAAGCCAGTTGAGTCACCCACTTCCCGGGACAGACACACCTACTGCAGGAACCAGCTCAGTCTTAACTCCTTCCTGCTCCTCCTCTTCCACCCACCCCTCAGAGGCCTCTGGCTCCTCCTTCCTTCCAGCCCCATCCCTACCAGCCCAGGCTGGGCTAGAAAAAGACATTTCAAAGCCACCTGGACCTCAGCCCTTAAAATCAGAGGAAACTTGCTGGGTAACCCTGCCGAGGCTCTGCCAGCTCTGGGCCTTGGCTGCCTGTCTACAAGGCAGGTCTTGAGCTCAGTGGCAATAACATTCAAAAAAGCCAACACTTCCAACACTTACTCATGGATGAGCCAGGTGCTAACGTCAGGACTTTACACGTATTATGGTTCACTTAGTCTTTGCAATTATCCTATGAAATACAGTTTTTATCACTGTTATCCCCATTTTACAGATGCAGAAACTGAGGCACGAGCAGATAAGCAGCTTGCTCCAGGTCACACCTGGGCAAACAGCAGAGCCGGGAAATAAACCCAGCACCCACGCTGTAAGCGGCCACGCTCCGTGGCCTTTCACAACACTAGTCCTAAGAGTGGCCTGAACACTCAGCATCTGCCAAGCACCGAGCTCGTTCCACATCTCACCTCACCTGCACTACAACTCTGAGAGGCGAACATTATTGTGAAAGCGCTCTGACGCTTAGAGGTGAGGGCACGTTCCCAAAACTACTCAGCTGGTGGATGCTGGAACCTGACACAAGCTCTCACCAAACCCTAAGCACCGTCCCGTAGCCCCTGCGGACAGCTCAGCCAGTCCGCACAGCTGTGAGGGGCACGTCCACAGGTGCCCCGCATACCCAAGCTCCCTGCTGAAAGAACAAAGCCCACCAAAGCCCTGGCTTCCATCCCAAGGCCCCACCTCCCTGTACCCAATCTCACCTCGGAGCAGGCACTGGGGGTCTGTGTGTCTTTCAGCTCAGGTCCAGCTCCCCGCCGTGCACTGCCAGCACTTGGTGGTGGTGAGGCCAGGAGGTCATCCAGCCAGCGGGAGCTGCTTTCGGGGTCTGCAGGCTCGGGGGACCCCCCAGAGGGATCTTGAGCCTCGGTCCTAGGTTGGGTAGTCTCAGCCTGGGCCAGGGTCACGGCCTCCTCCTCAGCAGGCAGGGCCTGCCCAGGGTCAGGGGTGGCAGCAAAGAGGACACAGGGCTGGTCAGAGGGCGCTGGCTGCTGCTGCCCCAGGACCGGCTCCAGGACGGGCAGGGCAGCCTCCCTTGTGGCCAGAGCGCGTGGGGACTCATGTCTGGCCAGGAGCTCCTGCTCCTCATACCTCTCCTCTGCCTGAAGCAAGGCCGGTTCAGGTGGGCCCCCTGTTGTTGGCAGAGGATCAAGGGGAGCAGCTGGAGAGGGAGGATGGCTCTGCCCATCACCCTTTTGGGTTGGGGAGGTGCCCGAATCATCCATCTGCACCCAGGAACCAGGTCTTTCTGGTCCCTCTAGAGCTGACCAGGGCCCTTGTCCCTGCTGGAGCACTCCCTCCTGACTGGATGCAGCCCAGTCACGCGCCGCCTCGGCCTCAGCCTCAGCCTCTGCAGCCGCAGCCTCCGCAACCGCAGCCTCAGCCTCTGCAGCCGCAGCCTCCGCAACCGCAGCCTCAGTCTCTGCAGCCGCAGCCTCAGCAACCGCAGCCTCAGTCTCTGCAGCCGCAGCCTCAGCAACTGCAGCCGTAGCCTCCGCAACCGCAGCCTCCGCAGCCACAGCTGTAGCCGCCGCAGCCGCAGCCGCTGTAGCCGCCGCAGCCGCAGCCTCTGCAGCCTCCGCAGCCTCCGCCTCTGCAGCCTCAGTGATAGGGGAGGGGGGTGGAGAGTCCAGCCGCCACACCCCTAGACCCGAAGGCCGAGTGGGGAAGGTCCATTCAAAGGACTGTGATAAGCTCCAGTTGGACTCCGTCTCACTCCCAAAGGGACGATCCAGGGCTGACTGGCTCCCCTGGGTTTGGGGCAGGTCAGAGAGCGAGCCCCCCAGCTTCTGATCTTGGTCAGGCAGCCGTAGCACACCTTCAGAAAATCGGCGCTGAGCCAGGCCGGCGGGGCGGAGGTCTGCATCACCCCTGGACACCTCCTTGCCAGACGGAAACGTCCGATCAGGATCAAGCAACTCAGCCCCCTCCATCAGGGGCCGGGGCGAGGTGGCTGGACGCTGCTCTGGGCTATGGAGCCCTGAGACCTTTTCCACGGGAGGGCTGCTGGGTCTGGGGGTCTCTGGGGCTCCCAACGCAGGGCGCTCTGGGCTAGGGGCATGGCAGGAGCCCTCATCGAGCAGGGTCACAGTTGGGAACGCTGGAGTCACAGGCAGGCAGGGAGAAGGCCCCGACGCTGAAGGACTCTGGCCTCCTGGAAGACGAGAGCGGCCAGGAGACCCAGAGGCCGGGCCTGAGGTGGCGAGCCCTCCGTTCTCTGTGGTGGGGCCTGGACTTGGGGGGACCCAGGCCTTGGAAACCTGCAAGAGAAAGGTCGCGAGCCATCACTCACCTTATGGACCACAGGTCAGCTGCTTCTTTACCTCTTACCCCACAGACAGGAGGAGAAAACTGGGGGTCCTCTCAGGACAGCTGGCAAAGGCCCCAAATATTAGTTGCGGCTTCTTAAGCTTCTCAGGGTCCTCCGTCCCCTCCTTTAGACCCTCTTCCCAGAAAACACACAGAGCCCTATTCACATAGTATGACCCACACCAATTCAGGTGGTTCAAACCCCCGCCATCCACCCACCCACCCCAAAGCTCTTCGAAGGATCCCCCAGGAGTCCATGGAGCTGTCCACCCTGCTAGGTGCATCCACAGGTCCCAGCGCTGCCCGAGGAAGCGAGCAGGCCTCGGGCTTCAGGCAAAGGCACTGGGCACGTGAAAGCCCTCGGCGTGGTCACCCAGCAGCGCCTCCTGTAAGCCATGGGCCCTTCCATAGGATGGTCACTTGGCTTCTCTGAGCCTCAGCCTCTCCCTTTGTCCATTGGGGCTGGTGACAACAACGTCCCCCTCACAGACATAGGTGGGGAGGAAATAAGATTCGTGCATGTGGCCTCTTGGGACAGGACTTAACCAAGAATGGATCTGTGGGCCGATGGGGGAGGAGCACTAGTGCGCAGGAGGGTGGGGGCACCTGGCACCCCACTGCTCCACTCCGCCTGGCCCCCGACAAGGAAGTGACTCTTGCTCTTTCCGACCTTCGCCCTCCCCATCGGTCACACTTCCCTTGCTGCCCCAACATGGGGCTGTGGGCCTGGTCAGAGGAAGGCGTCCCGCGTGTTCAGGGCCCCTTCCATTCCCTCCATGTTCCCTCCTCTCTACAAAGCTCTAGCTTTAAAGCTCACACCCTCCTGTTAGAGCCCCGGAAAGCACAGCCCCTGGATCACTGCAACCCGCCCCAATACCAGCCCCGCCATGATCCAGTGGTTTCACCGTGGACCCTTCCACCACCCTGGCTGGACTCCCTGACCTCCTCTTCTCTGATGCCGTCACGACCGTCTCTCCCATGACCGTGTCCCTACCCAGAAGGGCAGCCCTCCATAGTCTCGGTCTCCCACTCACCCACTCCCACCTCCTGCCTGTGCAGGTCCCTCCTTCCACCTCCCCACCTCCCCTCTCCCCCCTCCTTCAATTCTTCAACCGCTCTAGAAGCCTAGCCACTAACCCTCCTCCTTCTCACCGGGGCAGAAAACACCCACCCCGCTACCTGTGTGACCCCAGATCGTGAACTGCCCTCGCTCGGGGCTAAGGCCAACCCTTCCCCTCTCCCCTGCATCACTGATTTTTCCTCCTCTCTTGGATCATTTCCTTAAGTACACAAACTGCTCTCATTTCTTCCGCCCTAAAAAAAGAAAAACACTCTTGCACTCACCTCTCTCCAGCCACCAGCCATACCTTGACAACGCCCATCTGCAGTTTCTATCTCTCACCACACTCTGTCCCATTGTCTCTTGAACACCCCAATCAGGCTTCTTCCTGCACCTGCCACCTAACTGCTCTCGTCAAGGTCACAACGTTGCCCTGTAGCTAAGTCCCACTCCCAGGGCTCACTTGCCCTGACCAGGGAGCCTATTTGACTGTGTGGATGGGCCCTCCTCCCTCCTTTGGCCTCCAGGACTCCACCCTCTCCAGCTTTCCTCCCAGCTGGCTGCTGCTCCATCGTCTCCTGGGCCGGGCCGGACGGGCCGGGCCTCAGTCTTCCCTCCTGTGCCTCCTCTCCTCCCCTGGTGATCTCCGCTGGTCTTAACTACATCTGCACAAGGACAAGTCCCCGGAACTCCAGACTCAAATAGCCAAATGCCCACCTGAGACTTCCACGTGGATATCTAACAGACATCTCAAACTCAACTAATCCAGCAGCAAACTCCTCGCACCTCCTCCCACCCTGCTGCACCCTCAGAGGGCCCCATCTCACTGAATGGCAACTCTGCCCTTCCAGTTGCTGGGGCCCAAAGCCCTGGAGTCATCCTTTACTGCGTGGGTGTGCTCTCTCTCTCTTCTACCAATCTACCTGCAAATCCTGTCTTCAAGTTCGCCTTCAAATTCCACCGAAAGTGACCACTTCTCACCATCTCATCACCAGGGTAAATCACCTCACCCCTGGATTATTCCAACAGCCCCCCACCTCAGCTGGCCCCTGCTGCTGCTCTTAGCTCCCTGCAACCAACAGGATAAGGTGACTTTTACAACTCTCCTCCAAACCCCTCAAAGGTTCCTGCCCCTCTCTCAAGCCAAGGCCCTCCCAGTGGCCCACAAGGTTCCACATGACCAGTCATCAACTCTCAGTCCTCACTACCACCAGCTCCTCCCCTCGCACTGCAAATGGGACCATCTGGCTTCCTTGCCAGCCAGGTTCCTTTGTCCTTGCAACTGTTTCTGCCATGAACGCTGTTCTCCAAACATCCACACTCTCACTCCCTCACGTTCCTCGCAGCAAGGCCTTCCCCAGCTACCCTCGTCCCCGATCTCTCTACGTTCTTGGGTCTCCCCGGCACTTGTGTGACCACATATCTGCTGGTTCACAGAGTTGTCTGGGTCCGCACTGGCCTCTCGCATTCGCAGATGAGCTCCCGGAGAACAGGGATGGCGCGTGCTCTGCTCTCTGCTGTTTCCCCAGCACCCAGCTCATAGTACATGCTCAGTAAATATTTGTTAGATGGACGAATGGAGTCAGGTGCCCATCACTGGGCACACAGGGCAGCCTCTATGAGCAAGAAGAGCTCATCTGCTCAGGAAGGCAGGCTGCCCATCCTCTCAGCACAGTGGGGAGAGGTGGGGATATAACAGGAAACCCCCAAGGAAGGAGTTTTCCCCAGAACCCTGAGAAGGAAGCCTAGACAGGGGAGCAGTGGAGTCAGACAACTCAGATCCTGCCTAATCCTTGGGTAAGTTCCTTAACCTTGGCGAGCCTCTTACGGGGGCCAAGAGGGCCTGCTAGCTAGTGATCACAAGGACTAGGCTGGTCCACCCTCCTGGAGCATGCCCGGCACACAGTAGGTACTTACGGCAGTAGTTATGGATAATCACTCTTGATAACTAGCAGTCTCATGGCCTGAACCACACTTGATCAAGAGCACTGGCCTGGGAGCCAAGAAATCTGGAAAAAATCTGAGTCCCAGGGCCAGCCCTTGGGCAAGTCACTCTCCATGACCCTCAGTGTCACCTTCTGAACTACAAAGGGATAGAACAGATGACCTCAGATGACCCTTCCAGCTCTAAACCACTGATTCCGATTCGTAACAGGATAACTCACATCGCTAGGTGGCTCGGAGCTGGCAGGCTGAGCCAGGTCCCCGTTGAAGGCCAGGTCCAAAGCAGGGCTCCTAGGAGGGAGGAAGACAGGAAACTGAGGCACAGGATTAAGAAGCCCGTGACAGATGAATGAGGGGACAGAGCTGTCTAAGAGTCTGCCCAAGTGACTTTAACAGCACCCAAAGTTAACCTCCCCTCACCGCCAGGTATTGTCTACTGAGCCCTGCCTGGCACCACCAGGACAAAGCTGCTGCACAGTATGGAAATGGCCCAGGAGACAGTGCCCATTCCATACCTGCACACCAATGGTTAAATTCCCTTTATAACAAGCATCCTTGCCCTGGCTGGTTTGGCTCAGCGTCGGCCCTTGGACCAAGGAGTCGCGGGTTCAATTCTGGCCAAGGGCACGTACTTCAGCTGCGGTCCATCCAAGGCCCTGGCCGGGGTCATCGGGGAGACAACCAGTCTCTCTCATGTGTTTCCCTCTCTCTCTCCCTCCAACTCTATCTGAAGATAAATGGGGAAAATATCCTCAGGTGAGGATTGAGAAAAAAAGAAAAAGCATCCTGGAAGTTCACACCCCTCAATGATTCCCTAAAATATAACCCCTCCTTCCCCCAGCCGCTCAGGGGTTAATGCTCTCCCCTCCAGCCAGGGAGAGTACAGCTGGCCTGGCTGCCCTGCCAATACTTCTTGAGGATTCCAGGGGGAGGGAAAGGGGAAGAGTGGTTTTCCAAGGAAGTTGTCCTTCTTCAGCTCTGCTTAGAGCCAGGGAGGGGAGGACAGAGGGCTAAACCCAGCCTGGGAGCCCTGGCCTGGGTCAGAGAAGGGTTTGTCGAGAGCCCTGCCCTCCAGGTACTTTCAGGTGAGAAAAGGGCAGGGCTGGAGGGCAGGGCAGAGGCCTTCAGCTTGGGCTCAGCCCAGACCACAGCTGCCCTGCCCTTCACAGCGCCGGAGGGGGAGGGGAGCCTCTGGGCCCAGCAGAGCCACCAAGAGTCCAGGGAGCCAAAAGTGCCTCAAGTGGGCTCTCCCTGCCCTGGGGACAGCCCCTGAGATCCCTCAGCCTCTTCCTCCAGGGCTCTGTGCCCACCACACCAAGAGGCACCTCCTGGCCAGTCTTCCTTTACACTGGCACCCACTCTGGAGAAGTGTATTACATGCAACAGTCTCCAACCTGGCAGTAATCTCTGCACAGTGACACTAGCTGGCCTGGCATCAAGGTGTGTTCCCATCTTATCTCTCCCATCAGACTCCTGCGGGCAGACTGTGCCCTTCTCATCACACACCAGCACCTGGTACACTGCTCCGAACACAGCAGGAGCCGGCAGTTCAGAGCACATGCTTGGGAATCAAACAGACCTGAATTCAAACCCCAGCTCTGTCTTGCTTGCCAAGGAACCACGGGGACGGCACTTTTAAATCTCAGTTTCCTCATCTCTAAAACAGATCTAATACTCCCTCCACTGAACAGAAGGGCTGTGGATTAGAGGAAGCAAGGTTTGGCTCTTGGCATAAAAAATAAAGTAAACTTCCATACTGTGCATTTGAACTCTACCGTAAACATGCATCAACTCGGCAAAGGAAATTATAATTGTAAAGAAAATATAGTCATAACACTGTCTGCTGGCAGAAAGCTTTGGAACTTAGACCAGGGTCTGCCTGCATTCACAGCACACCACTAACCTAAAAGTGAAGGTCACAGTCCCAACGGGAGCCACCCACTTCATCCTCCAGGCAACAAAACACACAGCCCCCCACCCCTCACCTCTCCTGGGGGCTCTGGCTGTGCTCTTCTGGGTACTCTGTGGGAGACTTCACAGGCCCCTCCTGGGACCATCCCCTGGAAAGGGTCCCACCATCCTCATCCATGGGACCAGCAGCCATGCCATAGGTCCTGGGGCCGTATCTTGAGCTGCCATCGTGGTTAAAGGTGAGGCGGGAGCCCCAGAGGCGGTCAGAGCTGGCGGGGACCTCCTTCCGGGGCTGCTCCATCTTGGCCAGGATCTCTTCCACCGTGGTGGCTGCAAAGCGCTCAGAGGCTGGACGGAAGGGGGCGGGGGCCTTCCGCACACCCCCCGGGGCAGCACATCGAGCTGGGGGTGTCAAAGGGGGCATCTCTTCTTTCACAGCCTCCTCTTTCCCGGTCTCTCGGGTGGCTTCTCCTCTGGTGGAGGTCTCGGCCACTGGTCTCGGTGCAGCAAAGGGAAGGTGACGCTTGCTGCCACCATAGGGCTGGGGTCCTGCCAGCATGTTCATCTTCCGGGCAGAAGGCAGCTCAGCCAGGGGACCCCGGGGGGGCCGAGGCCCAACAGACACCAGCAGGCTGGGCTTGGCAGGCAGGGCAGGCTTGGCAGGCAGGGCCCGGGGTTTGGGCTTGACAGGGGGTTTGGCCTGAGGGTCACCTACCAAAAAGAAAGGGTTGGTTGGGGAGGCTGTCAAAAGAACCAGGAAACAGAACTTCATCTCCCACCCTATTAACTCAAAATGTTGACAACCTTCTAGTGACAAGCCAAATGTCACCTCTTCTATGAAGCCTTCCTTGATTTTCTACACATCCCAGAAGCAACTTCTGTCTCCAAGTTCCCAAAATCAGTCAATCTCTCCTATGAGCTAAAGCTATTTAAGGGCTCTGCTGGCACCTTATTTCTCCCTGTACCTACTTTGCATCTAACACACGTTCGTATCAAATGAACGAATGAGCCAATAAATGAATGCCAATCTACCCATATATCAAGCACTCAGCCCAACATTTCCCCAATCCAGTCCTGTCCTCTTATGTGATATTCTACCATCTTACCATCCTGCCATCCATAGCTCCTCCCTCACTACACACCCAGGCCACCTCCCCACTGTCATCCTGTGTATGATGAGGAATGCAAAGTTACTATTGATCTAACCCACACAGAAGTAAATCTGCTACAGGAAAAAAACAAGACCAAGAACCTACCTCCTATGCAAATCATTCCAAAGCCAAATAAAAGATCTTGGGATTACTCATTGCTACGGCCCTTCTAATAGAAACCTCTGTCACCCACTCATTCGGCTCAGCCTAAAAAAGGAGTCTAGACGGGAGCCAGAAGGCCTGGGTTCAGACCCCCATAGGTGAATGTCATTTCTCTTCTAGGCTCCTCCCCTTAAAACATTCTGCTTTATCCACATCATTTCAAAGGGAAGCCTGTTCTTATCTGCTGTAGAACCAAGACCTCAAACAGTTCTAAAGGGTCTCACCAGGAACTGAGAACCTTTCAAATTCATCCTGCACTTCTCCCCCCTCCAATGCCACCTCAACAGAATCATCACTTGCCCACCCCTTCCAAGACAGAATGGGGGTTCAGCCTCTGCCCCTCTCACTGTCCTCCCAGCCACCCCGCTCCACCCTGCACCCATAGGCACCTACCTGGCTCAGAGCCAGCAAACGCCAGCTCCTCCTCCATGTCCTGGGGTGGTGGGGAAGCCATGGCTGTGCTTTCCCTGAGAGCAGACACTTTCATCACATGCAGCAGAACCTGCATGAGAATCGGGAAGCAGAAGGGTATGAGCTGGGGCAGCCAAAGACCCAGGAAACAAGAGAGGAGAAGGCACGAGGGTTGGGTGTTAGCAGGAGGCTTGGTCAAGGGAAGTCTGCTACTTCTAGCAGAGGCAGAGTGTGGGACAGGAAGAGGGAACTTTGGAAGGGGTGGGGAGGTCAAGGCAGTCTATTCTCAACTGTTCCCAGATCATTCTCCAACCCTTGTTTCCTAACCCCCAAGTCCTGGAGCTTCAGGGGGCCGCCTACTCTTTCCCTCCCCTGCTGAGCTCTCCAAGAAACCCCACTTACTGTTCCCAGGGTACCCCTTGGGTGCAGAAGCCCCCCTGGGGCAGAGCAAGAGAGCCCCAAAGTCTGAAGCCTCTTCAAGACTCACCTCATGGGAGACGGGAAAAACCCGCTCCTCCCTAACCTGGGGCTCCACCCCACAGCCTGCCTTCCCTTTCCTGCTCACCCTCCTTCCCTCCCTCCCTCCCTCCCGCAGCTGGGAGTGGTTCCCTCTCCCCTCTCCCCCCTCCTCCTTCCACATCCCTGCCCCTCTCCTGCCTCCCTCAGAGCTGTCTCATCCAAACACGGAAAAATAAGGACTAAAAAGTAAACATCTGGAATACATTTTTTTCTTTAATTTCTCAATTGCTTTGGCTTCAGCTCGGAATTTGATGAGGTAAAGCCAGGGCCTAGTCCTGTTGCCATAGCAATGGCCTCCCACTGGATTTTCAGAGCCTCGCCAAGAGGAAGGAGGAGCCGGCCCAGCCTGGGCTGGGAGAATGGGACAGGGCTTGAGAACATGGAGGGGGGGCTGTGGCCTGGGGGGAAATACTCCCTGGGGTTCCCCCTTCTAGGACAGTCAGGGTAAGACAGCCACAGCCTAGGAACTGGTGATACTTGGGCAGCCCTCACCTGCCTAGGATTGGCCTGGGGGATTTGAGGGGCAGAAGAAAATTTTCAATCAAGTGTCACAGCCCTACCAGGAGTGAGCTGGGGTCTGAGCTGGGGTGGGACTACCATTTCCAGCTGTGTGCCCGTAGGCACAATGCTTACTTCTCAAAGCCTCAGTTTCCCTATGTGAAAGGTGGAGTTACTGAGACTGTTGGGAGCTTAGGGAGAAGATGCATGCAAACTGCTTAACATAATGCCTACCACATAAGTGCCCAATAAAAGTTGGCCATTATTAATACAATTCCATTCAGTGTCACCAGTGAGCTAACATCCTTGGTAACCACCTCCTCTCCCCAGATCATTCCTTCACTCCCACAGGGCCATCATGTCACCTGTTCTTCAGACACTCCGCCACCTCCTCAGTTCTCATCCTGGCCCCAGCCGGTTTGGCTCAGTGGTTAGAGCATCGGCCCTTGGACCAATAAGTCTCGCGTCCAATTCCAGTTAAGGGCACATACCTCAGTTGTGGTTCATCCTTGGCCCTGATCAGTCAATGTGGCTCTATCATATCAATGTTTCTTTCTGTCTCTTGTCTTTCCCTCCCTCCTACTCTGTCTGATGCTAAATGGAAAAATAACCTCAGGTGATGAATTAAAAAAAACAATTCTCATCCAGCCTCCTGCAGCACCACCATCCCACCCACCTGCCTCCTCAGGCTCTCCAGCCTAGAGACAGAATGCTGGCCCCTCTTGTTCCAAAGGAACAGAGATGTTTCCTATCACATTGTAGAGGCCCTGAGGACAACCTAACCCCCTCCAGCCTGCAGTGGGTACTGCTTCCTCCAAGTCATCCACTCCAGCTGGTCTGGGAAGACAGTGCCAAATCCAAAGAAAGGCCCTCTGATGCCCAACTTTTGCAAACCCCACCCACCCCTCACCTTTGACCCTGCCCCAGCTTGTTTCAAAGATGGAAGAGAGTAGAGAGAAGAGTGTAGAGAGAAACGCAATTCCCTTCCTTGGTCAGCCAACTTCCACGAGTACTGCCCACTGTGGGTGGGTGAATAACTGTGCAGAGCCAGTCCAAGTGCACGTGGGGGAGGGGCACATGACAGAAAAAATAAAATTAAAACACAAGACAGTCTCCTCGTCCTTGATAATTATTACAAAGAACATGATGTGGGTGGTTAGAAATGGGGTCCAAGTGGCCCAGAACCGACAAACTCTTTCACCTGGGGGCCTGACCCACACCTCTGCAGTATGAGAAGGCACAGCAATGAAGTGGGGGCTCAGCTTCCCCAATGGAGGAGATCTACAGCAGCGCAAAGGCCCAGCCAGGAAGCCTAGGTGCCCAAGGCCGTAGCCAAAAGCTGCAGAATCACAGAGGCTCTGAGCACTCCCCACCCCAGGAATCAGGGGGACACTAGCTGACCCTCGGGAGCAAAGGCTACCACACGGGCTGAGAGGTCGGGAAGTTCCAGCCCGGAGCAGGGGCCCAGAGAGACGTCGGCGCAGGTGGGGTCGCCCCAATGAACCCTAGGATCTGCGGCCGGATCCGGACCCAGAGAGGTCGGCAGGGACAGCACATAAACAGCTGGAGGAGGGAGGGCCAACGGAAAGACGGAACAGCCCGGGGCTAGGGGCCGTCTGGAGGGGCCCAGCGGGAAGCTCAGGACACAGAGGGGACGGCAGCAGCCGAAGAGGAGGAGCCGAGGAGGGTGGCGGAGGAAAAGGAGGAGGGGGCGGCGGCAGAAGCGGAAGACCTGTGCGCGGGATGTGAAGCAGCCGGCGAAAACACGAGGGGCTGAGAACACAGACCGGGTGGGGGCCGACTGGGTGGCTGGGGGCGTGCCGAGGGATCCAGAGGAGGGGGCTAGCGCAGACCTGGGAACAGGGGGAGGCAGGGGTCCCCCTAACAGCTCCGCCCGCCTCCGGGCCCCGCCTCAAGTCCTCGCCCCTTCCCCCCTTTCTTCTGGCTCAGCCAGCACGAGCTCCAGGCCGTGCGCCCTCCGCCCCCGCGCACACGCACCAGCTCTCGCGTGCCCTTCGCTTCCTCCGCGCCCCTGGCCCTGCAAACTTTCCTGCTCACCGCCCCCTCCATCCCAACCCAAGGTACCGGCTGGAAAGCGCCCACTCCTTCCATGCCCCTCCCCCGCCCCAATCCTGGACCCCGCCCCCTCCCTCGCCCTCCTGCCTGCCCCCGCGCACTCACGCGCTCCCCCGGGATCCGGCTCCGCTAGGCTCGGGCTCGGCGCCCCGACGCCAGTCTCCGCCACCGCCGCCGCTGCAGCCGCCGTCACCGTGGCCCAAGCCAGTACAAGCGCCGGCGGGGCCCCGCCCCCAGCTCCGCCCGGGCCCACGCCCCCAGAGCCCCTCATGAATATCCATGAGCCAATGGAAACCCGGGGTGGGAAGCCCGTGCAGAACTCGCCTGACTGTATGCAAATAAGCGCAACCCAGGTACACAATTATTCATGAGCCTGGCAAATGAGGTGCCCGCCCCAGGATCAGACAGGGGTGAAACTGACGCAATTCAGCCGCTAATAGCGTTCGGGCAAAATGGCCACCGAGACGACTGCCTAGAGAGGAAATTTAGAGCGGAGGGCCCGAGGCTCAGGCCCAGCGGCCAGGCTGATGGAAGCACCATAGAGTCACGGCGAGAAAGAAGGGAACCACCGGCCGACTGGAGAGACTTCCTGTGGCAAACACCTGAGAGCTTCTGCTACGTGGCTATCCCACGTGTGTAAATTCAGATTTAGAGCCACCATGAGGAAGACTGGGAGCTCTATTTTCCTCACTAATCCTCCTCACTTAGCTCCTGTTAGGCCCGCTTCCCAGATACAAATTTTTCCTGACCTCCTAACTGGTGCACCCTCTTCCTCCCAGCTCCACACCTTTCCTGCACCCCCACCACACTGTGTGCCCACCCCCGCTTATCCTCCCAACTCGCCAGGCTCAGGTTTCCACTCTCCTGGTTGCAGAGGCCAGTCAATCTTGATTCCATTATCTAAAGCCTCGGACGACCCTTGACTCATAGGTGATTAAGGATGGAGCCAGCAGTGCCTCCCTTTAGCTTTGCTAATGGAGTGGAACTGTGAGCGAGACATTCTAATCAGATCAGCTCTCATTTCTAGATTCTCAGGTGGCCCAGCCGGGCAGAAGAGGGTGAAAACCAAGGCTCATCCAGCCGGGAACTGAACAAGGTGTGCCTGAAGACTTGATCCCGGCTGGCCAGCAGGGCCCTGCCCAGTCACAGCGCTGTGATAAACACCACCAGGATCAATGAGAACAATACAACAGGGCTAGGGAGAAGGCATAGGACATGGTTTCCAAAGTCAGTTCCCTTTATTAAATGTTTTTTTCACAGACCAGAAATACAAAATAAAAGTAGAAATAGAGCCCAGTTAGGAGCTACAAGGCCTGACCTCACATGACCCCTGTTGCAGCAATTTGAACAGGATAAGAAGCAGCTATATCCCTAAGGTTGGGAAAGGAGGACAAGGATTTGAATCCCACACTACCCTGCCTCCCATCTAATCTCTCCCCAAACTATGAAGAGCCATCCTTGTGAAGCAGCAGCGGAGTGAGACACCTCCCCTGCTGTTCCAGTGAAGTGCATACCCCCAAGAGAGCTTGTTCAGATGGCACTGAATCCAAAGGCTACATTTCGTATGAGAAACTGGTACAAAAACATGGGTGGGGAGGCTGGGGCTGTGACAGGACAAGCCCAAGGAGAGAATGTCCTCCTGTCTACTCATCAGATCCCGACGCTGAGTCTTCTGAGCTGGGGGGAGTACTGGCTAGTTCCTCTTCTTCAGAGTCCTGAAAACCAAATGTCAATTTTAAGGGGAAAGATATAGAGTCCTGGTTGCCCTCCCAGCACTTTTCAGTGGTGAAGGGCCCCCAGGTCCCTATCCCCATCCCAAAACGCCAACACGAACCTTCAGAACCCCAGAATTCCACTATCCGCTCCATCCCCTTACTCCTCTGGACCAGCCACGAACCCTCGCCCAGAAACATCTGCCACCTCCCACCCGCACTCAGATGCCCCTCACCCCTCCAGACCCCACAGCCTCAAACTCCTGCCACACCTCACTCCGCCTTCTCTTCTTTTTGCTCTTGTTCTCTCCTGAAGAGCTCTCATCACTGGACACAAATTCTTTACTCTTGAAGCTCTCACTGAGCTGCCTTGACGACGACTTGGATGACGAGCTCCTAGAGGGTGTTGACTTCTTTTCCATCTTTACCTTTACTTTCTTCTTCTTCTTTGACTTGTCCCTACATTGGCAAGAGGGCAAAGGAGCTAGGCCTTCAGGTTCCCCCATCATCAAGGCCAAACTTCCCCCAGCTTTAACAGGACCTCTCTAGGTCCCAGCCACACTACCCACCGCACTATAAACATCAACAGCCAGCCGTGCCAGCCATGCCAGCTGCAAGTACCCCCAGGAAAGGCATCGTAAGAGAATAACCAGAAGACTCAGGTCATGTCCTGGTCATGCATAAAACTTATTTAACATCTCTTGCTTTATCTTTAAAAATTCACATGAATTATAACCTATAATAGTATGTATTTTTAAATTATCCCATACCTTCAAATAAAATTGACCCTCTTGGAAAATGGGTCATATTTATCCATTGATCAGGAATTCCCCAGCACCTATACTTGGGCAACTGCCTACCCAGATTTGAGACGCACTACCCTACTGCAGTCAGAGGTATCTCTATTTTCTTTAACGCCCCAATTCTCAACTTGGACCTGCAAAAATATCTGCCAAAAAAGCAGTTACTGGGCCACTCTGTTCCCAACACTCACCTCTTAGAAGACTCACCCCTGCCCCCTTCATATTCTTTCATGGCTTTTTCATATTCCCTCCTGGCATCCTCAGCCTTGCGATCCCACTCCTGTGTCACACACACGCCCATACACAGAGAGAGTGAGAGAGAGAGAACAGAAGATGAGATCTCTTCCCTGATGCAGGCAAAACCTATACAGAAAAGTTCTACCAATGGCCCCCTGCCCCCTCTATTGGTTACAAGATTCACCATCCCTCACCTCTGCTGCTACTCACCTCTTTCTTCTCTTTGGACATGCCCTTCCATATCTCGCCGGCCTTCTTGGAAAGATCCGTGACACTGATGCCAGGATGGTCTGATTTGATCTTCTCTCGGCTAGCATTGAGCCACAGCATGTAGGCAGACATGGGCCTCTTGGGGGCATTGGGGTCTTTGCCCTTCTTCATCTGCATAACAACCCAAATGCCTTCAGCTAGCTATATCCCACAGATCCCTACATTCTCCCAAAGAAATTATTTGGATCACCTACATGGGAACAAAATAGAGCAAGGACTAAACAGCATCAAGCTAGACCGACAGTTCTCTAAGGGTGGGGATGATGTCTTCCTCCCCTCTGTACCCCAGAGCCCAGTTCATTAGGGGCCCCTTTTTTTTGGTCTCCTGGAACAAAGGAAGCCTGTCTCCTAATTCAGATCTCCCAGAGGTTAATTATGTCAAGGACCAGAGAGGAACATTTACAAGAATACAGTCCTAGAGACCATAATCACTGGCTACAAAAAAACAGCCTCAAGAGGACCAATCAACAGACCCCACTGGTGGTGGACAGAAGACAGAGAATGGCCACCCAGCACCCTCCCTTTCAGAGGAGTGCCGCACCTCCATAGGCTTCTTGCGGCTCTTGCGATCCTTGGCCATCTTGGCCTTTTTAAGCTGTTTCCGTTTCTTCTCATCCCGGTCACTGTCACCCTCGTTACTAGAAGAGCTGGCAGAGGCATTGCTGTCAAACCTGCCAAGGAGAGTGGAGCTGAGACTCAGGGAGGGAGGATGGCGCCCCATGGCCTCAGAGCAGGAAGAAAACAAGTCCAAAGACACCTGTGGAGAAAGGGGAGTGGGAAGAGGACCACACAGGCTCCACCACCATCCCTAACTCTGCTTCCACCATCCCCTCTCCAGACCCAGACCCAGCAACGGGCTAGCTGGTGAACCAAAGAGAAGCAAATGGGCTTTGGCTGCTCTCCTTGGTCACAGCCTAACCCAGGTCCTACTTCATCCCCAAGCTCCTGGGGACGAAAGTCTGTCTCATCAACATGCCTCAAGTCCACTTTACCACTTCCTTTGAGTTACTCATCTTAATCTACCCTGTAGTCTTTCTGGTAAAGAGATACTTAAAAAGTGGAGGAAAGCAGCTGCCGTCTAACCCAGTACACAACCACGTAATCAACAGTCTTATATGATACACACAGAACTCTGCAGGAGACCAACTACCTATACCCGCATGGTGCTGAACAGGTTTCAAGGCATTTTCATAAGCCTTTACTCACTGAGTCACTAGGAATAAGCATGTAGCAAGCAGAGGGGGTAGACTCCTGTGGGTTTTCTTTTTTATTCCTCCCCAACATTCTGTTGGGAGCCACTACGCCGCCATTCAGGACAGGCTCACCAACCACAGGCACTGGGCGGGGCGGGGGTCCGTGGTCTAGCTCTGGCCCATCAGACCATGTGCTCCCAGTTCAAACTTGGAAGGGCCGTGTGCACACACTGCTCACTGCCGCTCTGAGAGGAGAGGCATTCCTGGGTATTAAACCACTTGTATTAAGCCTGCCCGGAGCTCCTGAGGGTCATCTGGTGCTGCCTAAGACAAACCTACCTAAAGACAAGGAAATCAGAAGAGTCCCTGCAGCTCCTGAGCACCTTGATCCAAGTGCCTGAAGCCAATCTTATCCCTGGACTCCCCAGTTACACGAACTCACAAAACTCCCTTTTATGCTATAGTAGGTTTGAGTCCTTTTTCTGACACAGGCAATCAAGTCTTGATCAATACACGACACTGCTGCCGTTTCACAGGCGGAAAAGCTGAGCATCAATGATGACCCAAGGACGCCCAGCTGGTAAGGGGGAGCAGCGGCTGTCTCAGCCTAGCTGCTCCCCGCGACACTTTTCTGGCTCATGCTTTGCACTTACAAGACCCTTGACCACTGTCAAAACATTTCCACCTATCACCTCATTGAAGGTCATTTTCTACCTTGGGTCAGTGGCTTATGCTGGGGGCACAACAAATGTCCAGAAATCTCTGGTCCCTTCAAGCTCACAAGCCACCACCTCACCCCAGGAGGTGGAACCAAAACTCACTCCTCTGCCACGTCTTCCTCCTCTTCACCTGGGTTGAATGACTCATCTGAAAAAGAACACAGGATTCGTCAGCTTTGCCCCGTGGAAACCCCACCCCTTAGCCAGACAGTTAGCCCTGGCCACCGGGAG